GGGAGCTTGAGATGAAGGGATTAGGAGAAAAAAGGAGAATCTATTTAAAAGATAACCAGATGGATGTGCATTCTTGAGGAACAATGTGGTTATGAGGAACAAGGTGGCCATGAGGAACTATGTCATTGCACAAGCTCCAAAAATAATCATTACCCTTTAGGATTACTGATTGTGCATCTGTCATCTATATTGTGAGTGGCACATGATTTATCTACTTGTTTTTTCTTGGAAAATGTGTATATGCTGAGTCTCTGAGAAATAAAGTTGTTGTTGGAGCACTGACTCCTCAACCCTCCTGATCCCGCTTATCTGTCTCCTTTTCTTCCTGTGCAGCCCCTACTCAGGTTGGAATCCTCTTGCTGGTCAAAGGTTCCTGGCAAGTTAGAATGGCGATCATTAAAAAATCTGGAGACAACAGATGCTGGAGAGGATCTGGAGAAACAGGAACACTTTTGCACTGTTGGTGGGAGTGTAAATTAGTTCAACCATTGTGGAAGACAGTGTGTGGCAATTCCTTAAGGACCTAGAAATAGAAATTCCATTTGACCCAGCAATCCCATTACTGGGTATATATCCAAAGGATTGTAAATCGTTCTACTATAAGGACACATGTACACGAATGTTCATTGCAGCACTGTCTACAATAGCAAAGACCTGGAACCAACCCAAATGCCCGTCAATGATAGACTGGACAGGGAAAGTGTGGTGCATATACACCAGGGAATATTATGCAGCCATCAAAAATGATGAGTTCATGTCCTTTGTAGGGACGTGGATGAAACTGGAAACCATCATTCTCAGCAAACTGACACAAGAGCAGAAAATGAAACACCACATATTCTCACTCATAGGCGGGTGTTGAACAACGAGAACACATGGACACAGGAAGGGGAGTGCTACACACTGGGGTCTGTTGGGGGAAATGGGGGAGAGACGGGGGGTGGGGAGGTGGGGAGAGATAGCATGGGGAGAAATGCCAGATATAGGTGAAGGGGAGGAAGGCAGCAAATCACACTGCCATGTGTGTACCTATGCAACAATCTTGCATGTTCTTCACATGTACCCCAAAACCTAAAATGCAATAAAAAAAAAGAAAAAAAAAACAAGTAATGTTGAAAGCATAATATCTAAAAATTTCCCAAAATTAATGGCACCAATTAAAAGACAGATTATCAGAGTGGCTCAAAAAGAAGATAATGTATTTTCTGCAAGAAATTTTATTTAAATATAAAGACACACACAGTTTAAAAATTCAATAAATGGAGAAAGAAAGCTGAAGAAGTTATATTAATTTTAGACAGATTATACTTCAGAATAAGGGAAAGGGACATATAATAACAAAAGGGTAAATTCTCCTAAAAAACAACCATCATTAATATGCATGTACCTAACAACAGGGGATAAAAATGCATGAGGTGAAACCTGGTAGAGCTACAAGGATAAATAGTTGAATTCATTATTGGAGACTTCAACACCCTTTTCTAAATCATAGAAACAGCCATCAGCTAGAAAATCAGTAAGGGCTGGACATGGTTGAAATCTATAGATTACTTAATTGAATAACAGTGGAGTATACATTGTTCTCAAACTTACATGAAACTTTCACCAAGATAGGCCACTTTCTAGGCTATAAAGAAAACCATAATAAATTTAAAAGGAAAAAATCATGCAGTGTATGTTATCAGATCTCAATGGAATTAAACAAGAAATCAAAAACAGAAAAATAACTGGAACATTCCAAAATACTTAGAGAGCACATAACACACTTCCAGATAGCACATAGGTCAAAACAGAAACTCAGGGGAGACTTAAAATCATTTTGAACTAAATGAAAATAAAAATAAAACTTTACAAGTTTTTTGTTGTAGCAAAAGCAGTGCTTAGAGGAAAATGTATAGCATTGAATGCATGTATTAAAGAAAAAATAAAATCAATAATGTATTCTCCCACCATAGGAAAGTAGAAAAAGATAGCAAATTTAATCCAAAAAAGGAAAATTAAATTGAAAACAGAAAATTGACAGGAAAAATAAAAAAACGAAAAGCTGGGTCTTTGCAAAGATCAGCAACGTCAATGAGTCTCTTTCTAGGCTAACTGTGAAAAAAAAGAGAGAAGACGCAAGTGACTAATATTAAACATGAAATAAGACACATCATTACAGATCCCGTGGATATTGAAAGAATTATACAACAATATTATGAACAAGTAGGTGCCCACAAATTTAAGAATCAAGACAAAATGGACTTATTCTTTGTAAAAACACACAAAAAGAAATAGAAAATTTGAAAAATTCTATAACTATGAACCAAATTTAATCATCAATTAGCAATCTTCCAGAAGTACCATCCCCAGACAGTTTCACTAGTAAATTATAATAGACACTTGAGATAAAAATTATGCTAATTCTTTACAACTTATTTCAGAAGACAGAAGCCAAATGAATGGTTACCAATTCTGACACCATCATTACCCTAGTACTACAGCCAGATAAAGGCATTATAGGAAAACTCCAGATCAGTATCTCTCATGAATATAGATGCAAAAGTTCTCCAAACAATTAGAAGATCAAATTCAACCATGTATAAAAAGAATTATATATCATGATAAAGTCAAATTTATTTCAGGAATACAAAGTTGTTGAACATTTAAAAATCAGTTAATGTAATCTATTACAGGAACACATTAAAAAAAGAAAAAACTTATAATTCTTATCTATAGATGCAGAAAATGTCTGACATATTTCAACATTCATTAATAATAAGAACACTCAGCAAACTAGAAATAGATATAGGCTAATACAATGTTCTTCAATTTGTATTTGTCAATTCACATATTGCTATAAAGGGCTACCCAAGACTGGGCAATTTATAAAGGAAAGAGTTTTAATTGACTTACAGTTCTGCAGGCTGTACAGGAAGCATGGCTGGGGATGCCTCAAGAAACTTACAGTCATAGCAGAAGGTGAAGTGAAAGAAGGCACATCTTACATGGCTGGAGAAGGAGGAAGCTGGCAAAGGGGGAAGTGCTACACACTTTTAAACAACCAATATTGTGGAAACTCACTCGCTATGATGGTAGTAGCAAATGGAAAATCTGCTCCCATGATCCAGTCACCTCCCACCGTGTCTCCCCTCCAACATTGGGGATTATAATTTGACATGGGATTTGGGTGGAGAAACACTATATCAAACATCTACAACAAACCTACAACTAACATTATACTTAGTAGTGAGAAACTCCTACTAAGATCAGGAAAGAATCAAGGATAACCCTTCTGACCATTTATTTTCAATATCTTACTGGAACTATTAGCTAATGTAATCTATGGAAACACCATACCAAACATCTACAGAAACCTACCATTTGCACGTCTGATAAAGGGCTGTTGTCCTAAATGTAAAAAGCACTATCAATAAGAAAATGAACAACCCAATTTAACAACTGGCAAAAGAGCTGGATACCTCACCAAAGAAGATACACAGATGGCAAATAAGCATGAGAAACATTGCTCCATACTATGTGTTATTTAATAATTGCAAGTTAAAACAAGGAGATACTCCTATGCTTGTTTATTAGAATGGCAAAAATTCAAAACACTGACAACTTCAAATGCTGGCAAAGGTGGGGAGTAATAGAAACTCCCAATCATTACTGGTCGGAATGCAAAATATTACAGTCACTTTTGAGAACACTTGAGAGTTTCTTACAAAACAAAACATATTCTTACTAATTATCCAGGAATCACACTCCTTGATATTTACCCAAATGAGTAGAACATTTATGTTTACACAAAACCTTGCACAGGGATTTTTATACAAAGTTTATTTTTAATTGGCAAAACTTAAGAAGCAACCTAGATGTTCAGTTGGTACATGTTTAATAAACTGTAGTTCATCCAGACAATGGAGTATTATTCAGCTCTAAAAAGAAATCAGCTATCAAGTCATGGAAAGACATGGAGGAAACTTAAATGTATATTACTAAGTGAAAGAAGCCAATTTGAAAAAAAAAAAAAAAAAGACATCTGCAAGGAGTTAGAAGGAAGTGAGGGATAGACAGTGCAGAGAGGAATTTTAGCACTGTGGAAATATTCTGTATGATGCTATAATGGTGGTTACCTGTCATTAAGCATTTGTCATAACCCGTAGAATACACAAAACCAGGAGTGTACCATAATATAAACTATGTACTGCAGGTGATGATTTGTTTGTGTATTTTTTTTTGTAACATACACAACATAACAGACACTTGGAACTAACAAGTATATGTTACAGTTGTAACAAGTGCATCACTCTGGCATAAATGTTGATAGTGAGGAAGACTGGAGAAGGGAGAATAGAAATTTGAGAACTGTCTGTACTTTCTGCTTCATACTGCTGTGGACTTATAATTGCTCTAAAAAGTAAAGTCTATTTTTAAAAATATTTTCTGTGTTACTTCCTCAGAATTTACTTAGAAATTAATATAATGGAATACAGTATTGTTAAGCATATGTGATAAAGGAATTTTGAGATGATCAAAGTAATCTCACTTCTTTAAAAAGACTTTGTGTCTATAAATAGCCTAAAGTTTCTTCAGAAAAGCAAAAATATTTTTAGGTGTTGCAGATTTTTTAATATGGGTTGGTTGTTTTCTTGTTTCTTTTGTCTACATAGAAACAAAACAAGAATAAAATAGGTATGTATAGTAAATGTCTATTGCATATATATAACAATGTGTGGTTGTTATATAATTTTATATTGCTTCACTTTATTAAAATCAGTAATGAAGTAGCAATATGTTAGAATTTACAAAAGAGAAAAATTGTTCAATTCATTAGAAAATGAAATTTGTAAAACCTAGATAAAAATATAAAATTATTAATAATCTCTACAATATAATATTATTATTATGTACATATACATGTAGGTCTGATATGGTTTGGCTGTGTCCCCACTCAAATCTCACCTTGAATTCTCACATGTTGTGGAAGGGACCTGGTGAAAGATAATTGAATCATGAGGGGAGGTCTCTTCTGTGTTGTTCTCATAATAGTGAATAAATCTCATGAGATCTGATGGCTTTATAAGGTGGAGGTTTCCCTGAACAAGCTCTATCTCTCTTTGCCTGCTGCCATCCATGTAAGAAGTGACTTGCTCCTCCTTGCCTTCCACCATGATTGTGAGGCTTCTCCAGCCATGTGGAAGTCTATTAAAGCTCTTTGTTTTTTAAATTGCCCAGTCTCAGGCATGTCTTTGTTGGCAGCACAAAAACAAACTAACATAGTAAATTTGTAAGAGTAGAGTGAGACACTCCTGAAAAGATACCAGAAAATGTGGAAGTGACTTTGGAATTGGGTAATAGACAGAGGCTGGAACAGATTGGAGGGCTCAGAAGAAGACAGGAAAATGTGGAAAAGTTTGGAACTCCCTAGAGACTTATTGAATGGCTTTGCCCAAAATGCTGACAGTGATATGAACAATAAAGTCCAGGCTGAGGTGGTCTCCAATGGAAATGAGGAACATTTTGGGAACAGAAGCAAAGGGGACTCTTGTTATATTTTGGCAACAAGACTGGCAGCATTTTGCCCCTGCCCTAGAGATTTGTGGAACTTTGAAATTGAGAGAGATAATTTAGGATATCTGGCAGAAGAAATTTCTAAGCAGCAAAGCATTCAAGAGGTGACTCAGGTGCTGTTAAAGACATTCAGTTTTATAAGGGAAGCAGAGCATAACATTTTAGAAAATTTGCAGCCCGTCAATGAGACAGAAAAGAAAATCCTATTTTGTGAGAAGGAAGTCAAGCTGGCTGCAGATATTTCCATAAGTAATGAAGAGTCAAGTGTTAGTCCTCAACACAATTGGGAAAATGTCTTTAGGGTATGCCAGAGGTCTTCAGTGCAGCCCCTCCCATCACAGGCCCAGAGGCCTAGGAGGAAAAAGTAGATTCATGAGCTGGGCCCAGGGTCCTATGCTGTGTGCAGCCTAGGAACTTGGGGCCTAGTGTCCCAGCTGCTCCAGCCATGGCTGAAAGGGGCCAAAATTGAGCTAAGGCCATGGCACAGAGGCTACAAGTTTCAATCCTTGGAAACTTCCATGTGGCATTGAGCCTGCCACTGCATAGAAGTCAATAATTGGGGTTTGGTAACCTCCACCTAGATTTCAGAGGATATATGGAACCTGGATGTCCAGGTACAAATATGCTGCAGGGGTGGGGCCCTTATGAAGAACCTCTGCTAGGGCAGTATGGGAGGGAAATATGGTTTGGAGCTCCCACACAGAGTCCCTACTGGGTAACTGCCTAGTGGAGCTGTGAGAAGAGGACCAGTGTTCTCCAGACCCCAGAATGGTAGATGCACTGACAGCTTTCACCATATGACTGCAAAAGCCACAGACACTCAACACTAGCCCATAAAAGCAGCTGCGAGGGAGGCTGTGCCTTGCAAAGCCACAAGGGCAGAGCTGCCTAAGGCCATGGGAACCCACCTCTTACATCAGCATGACCTGGATGTAAGACATGGAGTCAAAGGAGATTATCTTGTAACTTTTAGATTTGACTGGGCCGCTGGATTTTGGACTTGCATGGGGTCTGTAAACCCTTTGTATTGGCCAATTTCTCCCATTTGGAATGGATGTATTTACCCAATGCCTGTACCCCCTGTACCCCCATTGTATCGAGGAAGTAACTAGCTTGCTTTTGATTTTACAGGTTCATAGGCAGAAGGGACTTGCCTTGTCTTGGATGACACTTTGGAGTGTAGACATTTGAGTTAATGTTGAAATGAGTTAAGACATTGGGGAACTGTTGGGAAAGTATGAAAGTATGTTTGATTTTGAAATGTAATGACATGAGATTTGGGAGGGGTAAGGGGTGGAATTATATGGCTTGGCTGTGTCCCCACCCAAATCTCCTCTTGAATTCTTGCGTGTTGTGGGAGGAACCCAGTAGGAGGTAATTGAATCATGGGGGGCAGGTCTTTCCTGTACTGTTCTTGTGATATTGAATAAGCCCATAAGATCTGATGGGTTTATGTGTTGTTTCCTTGAACAAGAACTCCGTTTTCTTGCTGCCATTCATGTAAGACATGACTTGCTCCTCCTTGCCTTCTGCTGTGATTGTGAGGCTTCCACAACCACATGCAATTGAGTCCATTAAACCTCTTTGTTTTGTAAATTGCCCAGTCTTAGGTATGTCTTTATCAGCAGCATAAAAATGGATTAATACAAGGTCTTAAATCAAATGTCATGCAAACATCAAAAATAATAGTAAAACAAAAACATGGTTTCACCCAGTATTCCATACACAAAGCAATATTTAATATCAGGCAAAAATAATGTTAATAATGGTAGCAGCAACCATAGGCAATAGCAGTTACAGCTTTGCATATGAGCTCTATTCCTAGCACTTTTCTATTTTTTTTATTTTTATATTTTAAAATTTTGTGGTTACACAGTAGATGTATGTATTTCTGGGGAACTCATAGACATACAGAGTATAAGACTAGCTACAGGAGGCTGGAAAGAGTATTGGGGACCCACATACTTTTCAATAATATCTCATTTGATCCCCACAATCACTCAGGATAATGAATTTTAAATTTCATTTTCCAAATGATATTGAGACTTGGGGAAGTTTAAAATTTACTGGTTACTCCCAGCACTTTGGGGGCCTGGGGTAGGTAGATCATGAGGTCAGGAATTTGAGATCAGGCTGGCCAATATGGTGAAACTCCATCTCTACTAAAAATACAAAAATTAGCGGGCATGGTGGTGTGCACCTGTAGTCCCAACTGCTTGGGAGGTTGAGGCAGGAGAATCACGTGAACCCAGGAGGTGGAGGCTGCAGAGAGCTGAGATCACTTGCCTGGGTGACAGAGCAAGGCTCCATCTCAAAAAAAACAAAAAAAAAAATACTGGTAACACACAAGTGCATAACTAAAGTTAGAATTTTGGAGGAAGAACTGTAGTGATTATGATATGCTAAGTAATGGGATGGATACATCAGTTGTACTTAATAAAGGCAAACATCAGTTGGTTGGACTAAATAAAGGCAAACAACAGTTTGGGAAATAAGTATTTTTTATCCACAATTCTTATTTTACGTAGAATAACAGAAAATATAGTTTACTGTATTTTGTATGAAAATACAGTAAAATATGGTTTGCTATATTTTATGTGGTTTCTAATATAGGTGTGTGCCTGTGTGTGCATCTATTTGCATATGAATTTAAGGACTCACCTTATCGGCTAAGTGCCCCAATTAAAAGGCACAGCATGGCAAATTGGATAAAGAGTCAAGACCCATCGATGTGCTGTATTCCGGAGACCCATCTCACATGCAAAGACACACATAGATTCATAAAGGAATATTTACCAAGCAAATGAAAAGCAAAAAAAAAAAAAAAAAAGAAAAAAAAGCAGGGATTGCAATCTTAGTCTCTGATAAAACAGGCTTTAAACAAAGATCAAAAAAGACAAAGTAGAGCATTACATAATGGTAAAGCGATCAGTGCAATAACGAGAGCTAGCTATCCTAAATATATATGCACCCAGATTCGTAAAGCAAGTTCCTAAAGACCTACAAAGAGAGGTAAAGGTACAAAGAGGAGCTGATACCATTCCTTCTGAAACTATTCAAATAATAGAAAAAGAGGAATTCCTCCTTAACTCATTTTATGAGGCTAGCATCATCCTGATAGCAAAACCTGGCAAAGACACAACAACAACAAAAACATTTTAAGGCCAATATCCCTGATGAACATAGTTGTGAAATAAAATCCTAGCGAACCAAATCCAGCAGCATATTAAAAAGCTTATCCACCACCATCTATTCGGCTTCAGCCCTGGGATGCAAGGCTAATTCAATGTACGCAAATCAATAAATGTAATCCATCACATAAACAAAACAAGTCATTTTAGGCAAGACACTGATGACTTCCCTTGCCTGTAGGCAGAGGTTTGCTGGAGGGACAAGATTTCGTTTTGTGTGAGTTTGAATAGGCAGAGGGAGGTCTGTTCAATAGGCAAAGCATCTCATGATAATATTACCTTCCTGAAGCTTCAGTGAAATTTCTATCAGATTCATACCTTGGAACTAATATTAAAACCAAAAGCAGTTTTGATCCTGCAATTTACCATGCACCTGTGTGATTCTATGCACAGTAAGACTGGCTGGTCTGCACAGCTGCATCTGGTGCAGAAGTGAGATGACATATGGGCTTCTGTTGCTTAGGAACTACATGGCACAAGGCTCCATCTTCCTTCATTGTTATCCACTTAATGGCCCTCATAACAGGCTCCTATTTATAACTTAATGACAGAAACAAGCTGTGGGAAACATTTGCTCATCACTCCCAACCTCCAACCCTTCCCTTGCGTTAGAGTGAATGTCACTGGGTCAGAGTGTGCTGAGAGGTAAAAAGGTAGGTGTGGAGGAAAGTATGATGTTGTAAGGAACTAATGGGATCTCTCATAAATCTCTCTCAGTTTCTCATTCCAGTTGCCAACTTCCCTGTCTTTTAAACAATCAGAGCATTTAAGTCACAAAATGCTGGTGCAACAAAGTTTTGACTGCAGTAAGTCAAGAAAGTACCTGGTTAGTTTTCACATCTAATTATTATGTAGTTACGTAAATTAATTATGCATTATGCAAAATTACATAATAATTTAAATAATTATACCCCTATATCTATGGATTTCTAAGCAGGAACACAGAGACAATTTTCGTCTCTTTTGAAGCCCAATATAAATGACACACAGTCACAGGTTTTTCCCTTGGGCTACAAATCTCACCAGTGTCTCACCTCCTTTGGGCATGGGGTAGAAAGTGATGGAGGGAGTTTATTATTAAACTCTTACCAAAAAGCATAGAACAAATTCTTTGCAAATCAGTTGGGGTGATTTTCACTATTGCTACTTCATTATGATTCCTTATTTATGTTTATTTCCATTTTACCCAGAGGTCATTTTATCAAGCCACCACTAGTTAGTCTATACAACACCTTTATATACATTTCAAATATATATATATAAAATTTTCCCAGTGGTGGTGCAGAGTTCGTGGTCTTGTTCAGTGATAGCACCAAGTCCTCCAGCAAAGAGCGCAAATCCAGTTCTCAATTCACTTGGTTAGATTCCTCAGGTCAAGTACAAACTTCAGA